GCTATGCCTTTTTTCTTCAGGGTAGGCACACCTGCCAGTTAGTTCCTAACAGTCCCCTGTTCAATGTATACGCGTCAGTCATCTCTCTGAATGCCATCCGAGTGGTCGTTTACTTTCTCGCAAGTACAATCGGCTGTCCGCAGAGGGAGCAGGGCGCCCAGCCCCTCGGATTTTTATACTTCCTTGCCTGATCGCACTGTTATCGTGCACGGCCGAGAATTCATACAGCTAGTAATGGTGGAGCAGATGTTCCAGAATTTTGTTTTGTTGCCGACGACGTTCAGGAGGGTGATTGCCCTTATTTCGAGTCATAAAATATTAACTGCTCTTTTTGCAATTTGTTTGGGCATCGCATTGATGGGCCTTGCGCAGTGCCTTGCCGTGCCAAAGTCCCGTTATTGGCGACAAGCAGTACCACTCGGAGAGCATCGTCGTATTGCTTGTGCCCTGAAAATCCACTAATTATCATCGTTATTATTTGCATTTTTCGCGAAGAATACGTCTCTTTTTCATTTAAGAACTTCTGGATTCGGAAAAGGCCTAAGCAAGAGGTCCCGTGCTTCCTGGCTTCTAAAAATCATCTTTTTACTGAGCACAAAGAATTCGAACAATTCAGAAGGCTGTTTTTTGAGCTTCAGATACTTAACAAGGAACTTGTTTCTGTACCTCTTTCTGTATCTCAGGGAACGAAGGGCTCGGTCTAGCTGCGCTCCTCATATGATTGCATTTCAGTAAAATCACTAACATGGGATACACCCATATCGATTGTACAGATAACCTTGATTATTCGCTTTTTATTTAATGTCTGGAACTGTGCCGCAGTTTGCTTTTATAGTGTCCAGTTAATAATTTAAGTTAGATTTTTCTTCGGTACTACTACTTCATTTAGCATGCGCATTCGAATGCAAAAATGCTCTATGCTCAAGAAGTAGCCTTCAGAACGAGGCGCAGGAATCATTGTATTTATCGCAGTAAGTAAGATTGTGAAATGTGTTTTGCAGTGTGCTCCTCTACCGGCCATGAAAATGACGATACTGGATCATCTGGAGCGAATCAAGGAGGAGTACAACTTCATGCAGACCCAGTTGCAGCAGCAACGAGTGGAGATTGATAAGCTCTCGCAAGAGAAGGAAGCAATGCAACGACACTACATGATGTACTACGAGATGAGCTACGGCCTAAATGTTGAGATGCATAAGCAGACCGAAATTGCGAAACGTTACAATGCAATCTTGTCGCAAATAATCCCACTTCTTCCGGCCGAGCATCAGCAATCCGCCCTGGCCGCCATAGAACGTGCCAGGCAAATTAGTATGGCCGAATTGCATCAGGTTATCCTCTTTTTTTTATAGTTTTTTGTAGTTTTTTTTTTCACAATCTTGATCTTTTTATTTATTTTCCTTCACTACCTCATTGGATTCTGGACGGCCACCGTCCAACCCCTTCTTATTCCTATTGCATGTAGGGTCGGTGCGACCTTTGGCGGTCGATACCCTTTGCTGAATTGATGCTTTAAACGGCTACTACTTCACCACCGGTCCATTCTCGGGACATTCGTTAGCGCTATAATTGAAAGCCGTACCATCGAACTTGGCTTTGGGAGCTTCACGTTCACAGCACACACCGTGCAATCGAGTTAGCGGGCCAGACTTAGCCCCCTTGTTTATCAGATTATACGGCCGGCGAATTTCTCAGTGATTTTGACCGGTGCTGCATGGTCAGAAGTGGTCAGTTTGTTGACAGTCCTGGTGTTCGTTTAGTGTCAAATTAGAGTTTTAGCATAAGAAGGTTGCAGCCTTCAGGTTATCCCAGGAAGTGCAGATG